ATTCTGTAGTCTGTTATGCCCTGCCATATGCGTCTGGCGTCCTTAGTATCACAGAAGTGGTACAGTAAAAGTGTGGTATAAAAAAAAAAAAAAAAAAAAAGTATAATCATTTACTTACCTTCATATCATTGTCAACCCATAAGACTTTCATCTTTGGATTTTAGTATTCTGTCATAATTTAGTCCATCCACAAAAGTGTATGTAATCAGCATTTGCAAGTTTCAAAACACATCATAGAAGTAATCCATATAAATTATACAGTCACACTTCTCGCTATTAAGAAACCATTAACTATGACCTTTGCATCAATAAACTCCTAATTTGCTGCTTATTAAAAGTTAGTAAGGTGTTGTTAAATTTAGGTATTGGGTAGGATTAGGAATGTAGAATATGTGCTTTATAAGTACTAATAAACAGCCAATATGTTCTTAATAGGCATGCTAATAAGCAACTATGTTAGTTAATAGTGAGAATTGGCCCCTTTGTTAATGTGTTACCAATTATACAAAGCGATCATATATTTTCAGATGACTTGGATTAAATCGCTTGCTTCATATGGATAACTTTTATGACGAAATGTATAAACAATTTTTCTAAGATCTCATGAATATTGAATGACATGAGGGTAAATAGTAAATAGAGTAAATAATGTCTGAATTTTCATTTTTGGGGTGAACTATCCTTTTAATAAACACTGATGTTTGAGAAAAGTACATTATGTCCACCTACCCACACATCTGGGCAGGGCTGCACTCCACACTCTCCGGCCTCCACCCAAGCAAGTGATCTTAGTCTCGCCTTCCAGACGGTAGCCCGCAAAGCAGGAAAAGACCAGCGAGTCGCCGACCCCGAACTGGAAGCCCACCCTCCTGCTGTATGCGGGTACTCCCGGATCCTCACATGGCTCCAAGCTGTACTCTGTGGTACAGAGTCATAATAACTCTTAAACCTCCAGACTGCTTAGCCAAGCATGGGTTAGAGTAAGCACCATGACAACCGTGCCTTCAAGCACACTATAATGAACAGAATGAGTGATGCCCTCACCAGAGAAGGTGATATTGAATCCCTCGTATGACATGGAGAAGTCCGAGACGAAGCGTAGCTGGACGCTGAAGTTGCCAAACAGGCCTGCTTTGATGGAGGGCGGCAGGACGGAGCCTGTGAGCCTGGCCACTGGCTCTGTGAAGCTGCCGTCCTCGGTAATGAGCAGGTAATCATGGGAGTCCTCCAGGTGGAACGTGTGGAAGAGAAGCTGCACTCCTGGGGAGTTTCAGATGAGATTAGGGCCGTCAGTCACAAGCAAAATCTCTGTTTCAACCTCACAACCCACTGAGAAGCCTTCAGAGGGAACGTAATACTGATCGAAACAGAATCGCATTTGCCCGACATGGTGCTGAGTAATAAAATGTAGAGAAATGTGAAAAGTATCTTTAATTCGTTATCAAGGGTAATTTAAAAGGGCACAGAAAGGAACCTCATGGGTAAAATCAATGTGCCTCAAACTGTTATCACTTTCTATAGTTCGTGCAGCTCTTGTGGCTGTAACCTGTTCTTTTGTCTTACCTTTCCCATGAGACACTTCTACTGTCCAAGTGCAGTTCAGAGAGTTTGGGTAGAAATCTGGAAAACCAGGGGAAAGAACCGTTCCGGTTTTTCCATAGATAAAGCCCCCACACAAAGCTGGAAAAGCAATAACAGAAAGAACTTATGTTTGAATTACCTACTTTCCCTGAAAAAGAGTAAATCTAGCCTTGAAGTACATCCTCCATCAATAATTATTTTGGTTGAAGCTTAACTAGATTTTGTGAAGATAATGTGAGGGTAGTGCCAGGGCGTTGCTATTCAGGGGTGTGTTTCCCAAAAGTATCGTTAGCTAACTATGGTTGTTAGTTTAATTTAACTCTATTGGTAACAACGCAATTTGCACAATAGTTATTTTTGGGAAGCACACCCCAGTTAAGTTCTGAGTGGTTTCAGCATTTTATGGTTGCTTAGGATGTTTTGGGTGGTTGCCAGTGTGCTGCAAACTGTTCATTGCTCAAACAATATAATCATCAATGGTTCAAATATGAGCCCAGGTTGTGTTGATGCAGATTTCTGGGTCACACACTTGACAAACAATATCCAGAACATGTAAAATATTTGTATATAAATAAATACCATAATAAAGCTTCCTCTCTTTGTAGCGAAACTACAAGATGATGGATGCAAAACATGGAAATAGAGATGTTTTTACATGCAAAGCAGCAGAGTTTAACAATAGCCTAACTAATAAGAGGTTGACATTGGATACAGCACAACTACTTGTAAGAAGATCAAAAGGAACTATAAGAACTGAGACAATTTTCTGACTGGAGAACGTCTGTCAGTGCAGACAGTCAAAAAAGTGCTTGTTTTTTTTTCTCGAAGTACCAGAGCTGTAAGACAGACATCATAACAGGATACTGAATATGTCCTTGAGTCATGCTCATCGTCCTGCTTTTATCAAAATAAATCATATGGTGCAGGTTATGACAGGACATGCATTTTTGAGCCTCAGCATTTTGTCCTTAAATGGCCCATTAAATCTCTTCATCAAATGACAATTCTGGCTTATTAAATCTGAAGTCAGTCTATTCCAAAATTAGCGCAACTTTTCATAAGGTAAACTAACCGAGCCATACAACAGAACTAAAGCTAAGTTTATAGATTTGAGTAACAGTCATTTTAACACAGGTAATTGGTGGCACTGATTGTTGGTTGGAAAATAAGCTTTAGTTGGTCAAAGGTTACATCACCTAGTAAATATTCATGATGTTAAGTTAAATAATCCTACCCCCCACCCCCCACACACACTTTTCAGGATGTTCACTACTAGCCATAGGAATGCATCATTCCTGTTCAAATTTTTGCTCACAAATTTGTAGCAAATATTTATGTTTGGTGCGAAAAGGCCTTTGGGTAAATCCCTATTAACCATGGTATAATCACTCCAATGCAGTGCCTGAAGTGGATTATTGCTGTTTGACTCTAGTGTAGGTTGTTTACGGTTGCCAAACAATGCTAACTTGTAGGTCCCCCTTCATGCTGCCAAAACAGTTCTGATGCATGAACTCCATAAGACCTGTGGTATCTGGCACCCAATACATTAGCAGCAAATTCCTACAAATTATGAGGCCCATGGGTTTGTTGGTCCATCACATCCCACAGATGCTCAACTGGATTGAAATCTGGAGAATTTGGAGGCCAAGGCAACACCTTGAACAATTTGTCATGTTCCTCAAACCATTCCTGAACATTTTTTGCAGTGTGGCAGGGTGCATTTATACTGCTGAAAGAGGTTACTGCCATCAGGGAACTAACAGCAATGAAGGAGTGTACATGGTCTGCAACAATATTTGTAGGTGGTACGTGTCAAAGTAACATAAATGCCAAGATCGAGGTTTCTAAGCAGATCCTAACACTGCCTCCACCAGCCTGCTTTCTTCCCATAGTGCATCCTTCTGCCCACAACACACACGTACCTGGACATCCACCTGGTCTTCGTGGGCACTCTGCAACCTGCAACCTGCAATGCACTGTGTGCTCTGACACCTTTCTGTAATGGCTAGCATTAAGTTTTTTTTAGCAATTTGAGCTACAATAGCTCTTCTATGTGATCGGACCAGAAGGAGTAGTCTTCGCTCCTCATGTGCATCACTAGCTTTGTGGGCCCATGCCCCTGAAGCTGGTTCCCTGGTTGTCCTTCCTTGGAAATTTTGTCAGGCACTAACCACTGCATACAGGGAACACCCCCAAAAAACTGGAGATTTTTGGAGATGCTCTAACCCAGTCATTTACCCAGTCGACTGACTCTTCACTTTTTGCCTAATACCCCTTCAAAGGTGCCACTGTAACAATATAATCAATGCTATATACAATATAATCATTCAGTTCGCCTGTCAGTGGTTTTAATGCTGTGGCCGATCAGTGTAGTGCATTAACCAGAATGTTTAAATGGCTGAGAATATGGCTCGACAAATCAGAATTTTAAGTCTGAACTCTCCATTTAATAATAATAATCAGCCTGACAGGAAGGAAATGTGTAATCTTCTATGAACATGTATTTACATTCCCGCAAACAAATGGGGAGTATCTGTCCTGTCTGTAATGAAGGTCAGGCTCTGGTGAGAGCCCATCATGCTGAATCAAAGTCTGTTAGAGCAAATGCACAGAGCTGATAAGATGCAGGCATAAGAGAACATTGGGAATTCTAGAACAGACAGGCAACAGCCTGATTGCTCTTACGGGAAAACACTTTGTTTACTTCAATCCCTGTAATCGGAAAACAAATAAGATAAACAGCTTTATAGAGCACTCTCCTGTAGATATCTGGTTAAGGACTTCCATTATTTTTTCCCACTTCCCTGTCCTTTTCTCCTCTCCATTTAAGGTTATCTATGAAACAGCGCATGCCAGTCACCTCTCCTCTAATCAAAAATGTATGAACTCAAATCTCAGAGGAGTGTTAAGAGGGTTTACTCTTTCCCCTCTGATAAAACCGTAATGCGGCCTAGCAGGGTTGGATTATGGCCCGGACCAGTGCCCTCAGGCCACAGATTTTCAGGGGCCTCCAAAGTCTTCACCAAAGGAAACTGAACCCCTGGGTCCAATTTTTAGGCGTCTTTACAACGGGTGGTAGGGAGGAGCTGTTTCTCTTGTACATGACCAGAATTGAGAGAGCACAACATGGCCTACCGTCACAGCTGGGCAGGGCATGGTTCCACTGATGGTTCCTCTCACACACAATGGGTTCATCATCACTCAGAGTATAGCCTTGATCACAGCTGAACGTCACTCTGGAGCCGATGGCAAAATTGTTCCCGTGCCTTTTCCCATTCACCGGGATACCTGGATCTAAACAGGAATCTGTTTCCATCATAATGCCTGTGAGGAAGGAACAAAACAAAAATATTTCATTTCACCTTCAAGGTCTAAATTGAAAGGGGGATGTGTCGGAAGCACTTTACACAGTATAAATCAGCAGATATCAGTCGCCCAGTGGTCTCCTTCCTTGAACCAATACATTTTTATTTCTACTTACCTTTTCTATATTTTGAATATCATTTGGGAAAAAAAATGACAGCACTGTTTTTCTACATTGTTTCCCCTCAGAGGCTGGCATTTGAGGAATAGACCAATTTAGAGTACACGTCACAGTTACGTCACTTGCAGCTGCGTGCTCATAGTGGTTGCAGAAAAACACTGGGAACAAGTGGAGGTAAATGGGTAAAATCCATGGAATAAAAGCTCAAAAATAGTGAGTTTGTCAAATCTGAGGGAAAAAAAGCCAGAAGAGCCGAGGGGAAAAGAGAGAATGACGAGCTGTTTTTCCTTATTAGAATTGTGAGATATAATCTCGGAATTGCGAGAATAAAGTCAGAATTTTGAAATATAAAATCAAATGTATCTTTTTTTTATTCTTTTATTCCATGGCTCCATTGACTGCTACTTGAAAACCGTCATTTTCTGCCTCCAGATAGGCTCCGCCCACAAAAACCGTCATCCCTGTTTCGGATCTGTAAGACTATCCCACTCTCTAACATCAATTTCGTTGAATAACAGTGCTTATCGCTGGGTGACAAGCTCTTGTAATATGCGGAGAACATTTT